ATTATCTGTGGATGTAAATGTCCCAACTCATTAATAGCCCCTATTTTCATAAATCATTCACCATGTATAGCCTGTAGATTAGCATAAAATCCTTTTTATTATAATTAGTGACAGTGCCTTGCATATCAGCTTCTGGCCCCAGTCCTCACCTTCAAAACAAACAAAATATTTCCCCCAGGAGACTCTGGCCTAAATCTACACTTATTTTTCAGAGAGCAGGTGTCTTTTATCTGGTTTATTATCAAGAACTTTGGCAGAGACTTGGATGGAGACTTTACATCTCCAAGTAATGGAGATATTCAAGAGCCTATCCTTCACATGTTTTGAGGATTAGGCACTCACTGTTTAGATAAAGACAACTTCTGAAAAAAAGCACAGTAGTCACATCTTGTCTGAATTCTGCAAAACTTATGGGGACCTAGGACTGTCCTGTACAGAACAGCATGGGGTACCCCCAATGTCAAAAACTTATTCCTGCCCAGAACACAGTGGATGTAGCAGAGAAAGAGTAGCGGGGTCTGTTCCCACCTCATTATAATTTTTTATGTACTGTGTTGTGTCCTCAAGGGAGAACATTTGAAATTCTGGTCAGTGGGGAGGGAGCCTATCCTCCTGTCCTAAGGGAATATCGGTGGCCTGGTGTTCAGTCCTGCCTAGAGATGCATTTGTCAAGTTATCAGATCAGATGTGTGAAATCCCAGGTGTGTGTCTCAAGGAAACTCTGAGGTTTTTCATTTCCATGTTTCCTCTGTGGGACAGGATGCAGCTGCCTTCTCTGGGATCTCAAGAGGTGATACCTATATGTAGCAACTTCCCTGTTAGATAGAAGTTGCTGCCCTTATGTGATTGACAGTTCTCCTGAAAACAAAAATTAATAAATCTCATTGACATAAATCTGTAACTGCAATTCAAATTTCTGGAATATGCCCAAGGAATGAGACTACCAATAGAGAGGGTGATTGTTGACTGGGGAAAAAGGCTTTAGAGAATGGGTCAATCTGGTTCTGTAATATAGAACATAGAGAACAGTCATGACCTTGGCTGTGATGGCAGCATCTTCCACCAACCTGGGTCAATATGTAGGGGAGGCTTGTGCTTAAAGGAAGTCTCTTCTTTCTGGTGGGTCCTAAAGTATGGAGACTCTTTCTTCTCCTGAAGCTCCAAATATTGCTCTCTGCTGAGTTTCCCTATGAAATCATAAGTCATTTTAATGGAAGTTGAAAATTGATATTGTGTATTCTCCAGGATCCCTGTGACTTTGTTTCTTTTTCTCTCTTTCCTTTCTTTCTTCCTTTTATTCTTCCTTTCTTCTTTCCTCTTTTTTTTCTTTCATTCTTTCTTTTATTCTTTGAAGTACTGTGGATTGAATCTAGGGTATCCTGCATGTTTAGCAATTGCCCTATAATATCTAATCTCCCCCAGACTAGTTTTAATTTTGTTCATTGAGTTAAATTTGCCCTCCTTTGCTCAGACCTTCATTTTCTTGGATATTCATAACCCTCTTGGTTCTCTTTTTATTTCTGTTATTTCTTTGAAATAGTTTTCCTTCTTTATGAAAATTTCAAGTTCCTTCTGAGCTGCAAAAGACAAAAGTTGTGCTTTTTATATTATCCTAAAGATTCCATAGGCTTTCTTTATTCCTATTCAACTTCCTCCACTATCTACTTCTAAATAGTTAATCCTCGAGGTTGCAAATGCTTTTTTTGCTTTGATCTATCCATACTGATATCTTGCTGAGTGTAACTTTGCTGAGTGTATTTTCCTCCTCAAAAATTCCTTTTAGCATATTGAAATGGTTCTGTTTATTTTCGTTTATTTAATTTAGTTTCCATGAATCCACTTTTTAATATTATCTGTGCATGAATTCTCCATATTGATTACTGTCTACTCATTTTTTGGAACTGTCCGGCAGGAGTCTCTCTGGCTCGGGGAAGAGTCACAGAAGTGGTGCAGGCCCAGCTTCCTGTTACACATTTGGCCATGATGCTGGTGATGCTAGGTAATATAGATGACTGACTGTACTGTGTATCTTCCCTTAGCAACTGGAGCTGCTCCAGAGGCCTTCCACAAGCAGGCCTAGACACAGAGGCCATTAGAATCCACCCACCGTTAATCCCACCACTCCAGCACCATGTTACAGAAACAAGTCATGTAATTTAAACCAAGTCCTAATTTGTAGTGGGATCTTAAGACTTGCCATGCTGCCATAGGATGAGGAGATGCTGGTGATGTAAGACACTCAGCTATCTTGGTGGATGCTATGCTGAATCATGCCTGGTCTTGCACAGTCTTGGGAGATCACTGAGGGTCTAGGTGTAGTTAAGTATTCAGAGAACTGAAGAAGAGGTCTGGCTCATTGGGGCACATGTCTCTGCTGTTGTTGGGTGTATGTAAGATGTGCTGCTGTGCTCCCTGAGGCAGGGGAACAGTTGATAGGAAAGTTTCTAGACAGATCTAAGCTTGTTGCACCTCAAGTCAGGGCTACAGAGCATGCGCAATCCTGGGAAGTTCTACACAGCCCCTCCAATGTTGGAACTCAGAGACCTATGACTCAGCTAGGTCACAAGTACACATGTCACTGGACGATGCCAGGGATTTACTTGATCTTAGCCAAAAGGCCAAGAAGAAAGGCAAAAGATCATTTAGAAATTTTCATTGAGTATTGGGCTGCAGTGATTCACTGAATTTTCTAATACATGCTTGGTTTCTGTAAGAAGGCTAGCACTAATGTCTGAGGTTCAACCCTGAACTGCTGTTGTACCCTGCTCCAAGGTCATGGTCCTTCTGCCTGCTGTGCTGCTCAAGGCTCGGGAAGGTGCTGGAAGCAGACTCATTGCTGCCTGGCCTTCAGCCATCCCTGAGGATGGGTCACAGGTGCTGGCTTGGAAACCGTGACCATGCGAATTTACCACACTGTTTTTCACCATAGAGGGCCTGATACTGCTCTTGAATTCTATGTTCTGGCTTGGTTCTCTCTCCCTCACCCAAGCAGGATGGCTCTGTCCATGCACTGGTAATTTGTGGAAGAATGACATGTTGGAAGCACTTCCCTCTTTTTCTTTGTCAAAGGGTCTTTCTCTTCTGTTACACTAAATGAGGGAATGTGATCTGACACTTGGTGGCCTTAGCACTTATGCAGTAGGGTTTTTGTGTGAACAGCTTTTAGACTTAGTGAGTTTTGGGCAGCTTTCCAGATGTTTTTCTGTGGCAGGATATTGTTCTTCCTTTCTCGAGGAAATTTTTTATATTCTTGTTGCTACTGTGGTTTAGCATCAGGGCCTCATACTTGCTAGGCTGTGATTATACAGATGAACCACTTGTCCTGGCCCGTAAAGGTAAATTTCAAAGGCAGGTAGACTAATAAATTCCCATTCTCTGCCTAGTTCTTCAGGGGTCAGTGGTTTAGCCTCCTTCCATCCCTCTTCCTTCTTCCTCCTGCTACATTCAGACTTCTGCTGTGAACTAGTGATCCCTGTACGGATCCTCTGGCCACACCTTAGGACACTGAATTCCTGCACAGGCAAGGCCATTCCAGCACATTGCATAGACTGATCTTCATCACTGCATTTTAAAGTGTCTCCTCCTTCACATACTAGAAATATGGCACTCACAGGGACAATGAAAACCAGGAAAAAGGTGTATGGAAACACCAAGATAAGTATGAGATTTCATTTAGGAAATACTAGTGTGGTCAAAACATAAAATTCTCAGTAAACTTCTACAATACCACAGCAAAATATTTTGAAATTCATATTTTAATTGTACAGTAATATTTAGAAGATTGTTACTACTATGAATGACCTCTTCTCTCTTGGTACATACATATTTAAGAACACTACAATCAAAGTACCAATCACCCATAGGTGTTTAAGTGCATGGTGACACATCCATGAGATACCACAGTGGAAAGTGGGCAGCAGGTTGGGTGACAGGTGAGCACTCTGCTTGAAGTGCTCCAGGACAGCAGGGAGGTGACCATTGAGACAGAACAGGCAGGATATCAGGTGTCACCACTTAACTCAGGAGAAAGAGTTGGACAAAAGACATTCAGAGGAGGTTTAGACTGAGCATTGCTTTTAAACTGTAGCCCTTGTCTAGAATTTCCTATTTGACAGTGAAAATTACTTCTGTACACAATCTTCTCCCTTTTCAGGAGAAGAAGCACATGCTCTCTGTAGCATATTTCTCTAAAGCCCCTTTCCCCAAGGTGTGTCATTTCCAATTAGCCACTCACTCACACTGTGAACACAAACCTGCCCAATCCCAGCTGGGGGTAGCATTGCATTAGATATGAAAGGTGAGTGGACTTCTCAACTAGTGTGCTTGCTTTCTAGACTCTGTCAGGTGCATACCATTCTGCCAAAGAAAAGTTAGCCTTGTATATTGAGTTATAAGTTGTGTCATCCCTCTCGTGACACCACCAGGTTCTGAGAGAATTTCTAATATTCATATATATTATCAGTGTTTAACAATAATATAAATAATTGTAAAACCTACCAATTTTAATGAGGTTTTTGAAGGTGGATGCAGAGAGCTAAGAAAAAGTATTATTATTTATAGTAGGAAGACAAACAGAAAATAAAAGTTAAAGAAAGATGATACTGTTCATTCTTATAATATTACTTATTATTATTTAGACTCAATCTCAAATAATAAGCTGCACATGGTTGCATGCACCAGTGGTCTCAGCTCCATTGTTGGCACACGTAGGAGTGTGCAAGATGCACCCCAAAAAATATGAGACTATATCTGAAACAGTTATCTATTGTAAAAATACTTTGGTTGTGTGACTGAAGTGATAAAGCAAATGCATAGGAAGCACTTGACTTAGTTCATACACCACTATAACAAAAAAAATAACAATAGAAGTAGTTCTGATGTTCTGAAGCAGGAGAGAGCTCCAGAATCACTGTGCATTGTGCAATGTGATAGGAGCTTGCAGGGTAGGAAGCAGAGTCAGTAATAAAGATCATGTGTGAGTCTACACTTGACATTGGACCTTAGGTGGTGTTTGCTATGAACTGCATGCCCCCTGCTGGTCCTGAGTATACCCAGCATGGAGGTTTGTGTCTGTGCTCACACTGAAGTCCTCTCACTGTGCCTATTGCACAGTAATACACAGCTGTGTCCTCTGTGGTCACAGAACTCAGCTGCAGGGAGAACTGGTTCTTGGACGTGTCTCTGGAGATGGAGATGTCGCTTTTGCGGGATGGACTGTAGTAATTGCTTCCACCATAACTTATGTACGCCATCCACTTCAGGCTCTTCCCTGGAGTCTGGCGGATACAGCTCCAGTAGTAATCACTGGTAATGGAGTAACCAGAGACAGCACAGGTGAGGGACAGGGTCTGTGAGGGCTTCACCAGACCAGCTCCTGACTCCTGCAGCTGCACCTGGGACAGGACACCTGGGGGAAGAAAAATCACTACAGTCTTTCACATTCAGTTAACCTCCCCTTGGATCCATGTGTGAATTTGGGGACACTCACCTTGAGGAGCTGTCAACAGGCACAGGAGAAGACCAAACAGTCTCATCTTCAGGACCACAGCCCTGCCTTCCTCAGAGACCTCAGTCCTGTGTGAGGAGAGAGCTGTGAGCTTTCTTTGCCAGAGAGGGCAATTTAACTTAGAGATTGAATAATAATTTGCATGTGGAAGTCCTCATTTTATCTATGGTGTAGTGTCTGAGGTCAGGTGATCCTGGTACTTCTGTGCCCTGTGAGGTATGCATGCTGTAAAACTCTACAGGTGTTTACATTTGTTATAAGAGAGATAATTTTAGAGAGATGATGGAAGCTTTTCCAAGGATGTTCTCACCTTTGAGGAGAAATATACCATCTTCCATGCCACTTCTCCATCCTTTTCCCCACACTTATGTCTACTCAAGGTCAAAAGTGACTTCTGCTGGTCTGATTCTAGCACAGTTCTTCCTTTTTCTGTTTCTCTAGTGTGCTTTTGTTCACAGATACTCTGGAATCCTATTACATTGTCACACTTCTGCTCTTAGGAATAAAAATTTAAAAGGAAAATACAGGGTATTGTGAGAAACTGGGTTTCTTCTGAAACTAAGGAGGAAAGAAGTTAGCCTTAGATCTCCATCTAAAGAGATTTGAGCTGTGAAGTGCAGCCTCAGTCCATGGATAATCATGCACTATGGGGGCCTCAATGCAGGTTGATGGCTTCCAATAAACCATGTCATTCAGAGAAAGGGGTAGCACAGGGCTAGCATTCTAATGAAGTCCACGTGCCACCCTCTATGATTTCCAGATGCAGGAGAAGCCATCAGGTCACTTGGCTATGGAAGAGCAGCCTTCCTGTCCCTTGTGAGGATTCAGACAAATAGGGATGTCCCACACCTAAACACACCCAATCCTGAACTTCATTCACACGGAACACTTGAAAACACAGAGAAAGCAGATAGAAGTGTTACAGGTGATCTTGATTCCCAAGGGATACTGCATTAAGCATAATAAGAAGGGAAGCTGAGACTAGCACAAAAACCAGGTTGTTGACATTGACAAGGAAACAGGCTTAGGGTGGCCCCACTCCACTATCTGCAGGGATGAAAGATGAGCAGCTTTCATGAGTGGGATGGACCATATCTGTGACTTACTCCCTATACACACAGAGGACGCCCTGCAGTGCTCATAACTCCTGCCATCTGGACTCCAAGAGGGCAGGTGACAAAATCATCTGGGTTTTTCTGCTCACAGTGACTGCTGATCTCCATTGCACGTGAGCCGCTGTGCTTATGGGAAGGACACTTATCACCTTAACAAAATAGCCCAGTGTGATCTCCTCCTGCTGCTTGATGCCCATCGGCATGCTGGATTGTACTTCTAGTATAGGTGAAGTAGGGTCAGTCTGCAGGACTCCCCAGACCCACAAAGGGAGGATGTGACTCCATGACAGATTGAACAGAGCAAGGTCAGCTCTGTGTTCACATTACATTTTGTCTGTTAGTCTTTTTCACAGGTTAATAATGACCATGTTCATTTCTCACAAGAGTCCTTTCACAGAGGACAGCAGGAGGACCCTGAGCTGTTGGGACTGAGAGATCCCTCCAGCATTTCCCTCCAGCCTGCAGGAGATACGGCCTGAGACTCATTTTCTGGATGAACAAAGGAAAATGGGATATGTAAAAATGATTACTATTGAGAAAGAAAAATGAAATAACTAATATAAATGGGTCAGTTCTGAGTGCCTTGTGCCTAGTTCCTCACAGAAGGAAGGGAAGAGAGAGACATGTTATGTTTTATGCATCTCTGAGTGTGGCCAGGAACTCCTCTTTTTCATAACCTAAATCCTATTGTGTGTGCTAATCAGGGAATCCCACAGAGTTTCTGCTCTGTCATGGGAAAACACTTAACCTGGAGCCCTGAGCCACTGCAACATCTGATCCCATGGCCCAGGCAGAGTCACTTCTGCCTCTAAATGTAACATTCTATGTTTTGTTCACGTGGGAGTATATCTCATATATTTGGAAAATCACAATAAAATTGAACTATTTATATTTAGAGTCCTAAAACCCTCTTGTCATGTCTCACCTGTGTAAAACAGACCCTGACATCTGTGTGTGCTGACTGCCTTCTGTTGGTCGTGAGAAGAACTGCAGGGAGGTTTATGTCTGGGCTCACACTGAAGTCTCCTCACTGTGTGTGTCTCTTACACAGTAATACATGGCTCCGCAGATATAGTTGGTTCTTGTTATTGTCTCTGGAAATGGTGAATCTGCCCTTCACAGAGTCTGGGTAGTATGTGTTACCACCACCATTGTTAATTGCTGCAGTCCACTCCAGCCCCTTTCCTGAAGTCTGGTGGACCCAGCTCATCCAGTAGCTACTGAAAGTGAATCCAGAGGCTGCACACGAGAGTTTCAGAGCCCCTCCAGGCTCCACCAAGCCTGACCCAGACTCCACCAGCTGTACCTCACACTGGACACCTGCAACACAGAGAATCATGGTCAGGAATCTGTCACATTTTCCTCACACTCATGTCCACTCACACACTCAATATCTTTCATTCTCTATAAATCACCTTTAAAAATAGCAACAAGGAAAAGCCAGCTCAGCTGCAGCTCCATGGTGAGTGGTCTCTGTTCAATGCTGATCATTGAATGGGATCAGCTGGGAAACCAGGGTTGGGCTCCTCTCCAGAGCTGCAGGGTCAGGGCTGTTCTGCTATTCATGAGCAGATGGAGGCCTTATTTGCATGTCCTTCTGCTATATAGCAAGCTCTGGGTGGAAGATTCAGAATTGTCAGAGCATTAATTGCACTATTTGTGCAATTAATGTACAGTAATAAACACTAAAAAAACTAAAGTGAACCTGAAATCTCATATGTGACTTTTAAATATGATGAACACTACATTTTATGTATTTTTTTCCTTGAACACAAAACTTATAAGTATTAAATTTATTTTCTTTTCAAACATGTGGAAGTATGAAATAATCACAAGGGTTGTTGCTGTGTGTACAGGAGTTCATGACTTCAACCTTCCACAACACTGCTCCCTAAATCAGTCCCTGGGCAGGGTGAGGCTCACTCGGTGAGGAGTGCACAACCCCCTTTCTGTGATGAGCACAGGTGTGACATACCTACATTCTATGTTTAAAAAAATGTAGAGAACCAGGGTTCAGTCAGATGCAGGACTTTTACTCTCTGGCATCTCATGGCACTGTTTCTCTCAGCCAATTTTTATACATTGACATGTTTTTTCTCTGTGTAGCAAACTTACTGTGTTTCAGCACAGGATGTAATAAACTGCTTATTTGTAGAGAGCACGTTTGATGATGCTGACATCATGGACACTTGTTCACCATCAACACAAAAAGGGGAACCATATTCAATCCCCAAGTGTTTCCTTGGGTTCCTATGTAATCTCCCTTCTGCTCTTCCCTCCTCCTTTCCTGTCTCCAGAGAGCTCATAGCCTTTCTATGTGGTATTACATTAATTTTCATTTTTAAAAATTTATGCAACAATCATTTACAGTATACAGCTTTAATTGTTTTACTTATTTAAAACATAATGTTTCTCAAAATCCCTCCATGTTTTTGGAGTTCAGTCATTTATGTGTTTTATGCTCAATAATTTCCCTGTATATTGAATGATTAACTTTTGTCAACTGGCCTGTCCATGGGTGGTGAGATACATTTGAGGTTTCTGGTTATTCCACACTCAGGTGTTATTCAGCTTGTAGTTATAGATATCTCATAAAAGTTGCTCCTATTCTGACAGCAAAGATAAAAACAATATTGTAATAGACTATCTGCCAATTAACAGATAAACACTTCAGATTCCAGACTTCCCAGGACAAGTGGACACACATGGAATAAGGAAACTGGACTCAGGTCTCTGCGTTGGACCATACACAATGCTTCTCTGCTCTCAATTCCTACACTCCACAGAAGTAATGTGTAGTATCCTGAGGCAGAGGACACCAGACACCAGGCAGAAGGTTACACTGCACATGGTTGATGTATTACTGCCGAGGAAGTGTACTGGGGCACCAGTGTGTGAGTGTTCCATGGCTCACAGACTCAGGAGGTCTTTGTTGATGTTTGTTGCTATACTGAAAGACCTTACACCTTGTGACATACAAATGGAACAATTTTGTCTCTCATTTTTTTGAGATGAGAAGTCCAAGAACAAGCGATGGTAGTCACGCTGGCTCCTCTTCCCAATTTCCAGCTCCACTGGAGGTATACGTAGGAGGGTCACAGTGCAAGACTCTCCCCTGCAAAAACTTGAGACCCATCTGAAATAATTGTCTAAAACAAGAACATTCTGGTGATGTGGCTGAAGTGGTAAAGCAAATGCATAGGAAGCACATGAGTTAGTTCAAATACCACTATCACAAAAAGAATACAGAATCACTGTGCATGGTGGAGTTTGGTAGGAGGTGGCTGCATAGGAACCAGAGCTTCAGAAATTACACTTCATGTTTCTGTCTGTCTGCACCTGCCATTGGGACTAAGGCTGTTTTTGCTGTGAGCTGTGTGCCCCCTGCTGGTCCTGTTTGCTCCTGAAGGGAGGTTTGTGTCTGGGTTCACACTGAGTTCCCCTCAATGTGTCACTTGTACAGTAATATGTGGCTGTGTCCTCTGAGGTCACAGAACTCAGCTGCAGGGAGAGCTGATTCTTAGATGTGTCTATTGAGATGGAGATGCGGCTCTTGAAGGATGGGTTGTAGCTTGTGCTTCCACCAGAATATATGTATCCCATCCACTCCAGGCTTTTCCCTGGGGGCTGGCGGATCCAGCTCCAACCATAACTGGTAAGTGAGACACCCGAGACAGCACAGGTGAGGGACAGAGTCTGTGAGGGTTTCACCAGTCCAGGTCCTGATTCCTGCAGCTGCACCTGGGACAAGACACCTGGAGACAAGGAGAATTGTTACAGTTAGTCACCTGTGGTTATGAACTTCTCATGGACCCATGTGTAAATGTGGGGTCATTCACCTTGGGGAGGAGTCACCAAGCACAAGAGAAGAAACAGAAGCCTCATCTTCTAGACCACAGCCCTGCCTTCCCCAGAGACCTCAGTCCTGTGTGAGGAGTGAGCTGTGAGCTCCACCAGCCTGAGAGGGGATTTAACTTAGAGACTGAATGATAATTTGCATGTGGAGAGTCCTCTTCTTATACATGTGGAAGCACTGAAGTCCAGATGCTCTGGAACTGGTTAAATTGTTACACTGCTGCTCTTATTTGATGTCTAGGGCTTCCACACTGTAATTCATTTGTTATCAGCAGTTACACAACAGCTAGAACCATATAAACTGGATAGAATGCTGTCTGTGGTTCAAGGATGGAGACAAATAACTATAATTCCAGTACTTGGAAGTTGATGGCCAGAGGATCACAGTTCAAGTCTAGCCTTGGCACCTGTAGGAAGAACGTATAACACAAATAAATTTTAAAAAATTGTTAGGGATAAGGTTCAAGTAGAAGAGCACTTGAAGTGCTAAACACTGTGCTTATTTGCCAGCACTACAAACAATGTTGTCTGTTGTGTTATTCACAATGGAGATTGTAAGCAATTGGGGAAGAGACATAGGCATACTGCTTTCAATGACCAGTCACCAGATGACCATTCTGCTCCAATTCTTGGGACATTCACATTAACTTTCAGTTTCCTCTGGTTCTGCATATGTTATTCCTGGATTTAAACTACTAAGTGAATCATTGATCCGTCCTTTGTAAAACACATCAGAATTGGCAGCATCCATAGAGTGATAATGTGCACAGCAGTCAACTCTGACACCCATGAAGCCTTAAGATCCTTCCACATCCTTTGCTTCTTCATGCAATTTCAGAAACTTGCTTACAGACCCCTGGAGCCTACCTCTGCTCTTTTTTTTCAGGTTCAAGTCCACAATGTCTATTTTAACATCAGTAGGATAGTGGAGAGCAGGATGGACACATCACTTCCCCAGTGAAAACAGACTGTCAGGAGTCCATGAGTCAGTGCTTTGGCAATAGAATTGAGATTTCATCTTGACCAACAGATTTGAGGAAAAAGACACTCACTGTTCAGATTCTCATGAATTTGACCAAAACCATAGTGGACAGTTCTTGCTCCATGACTGCTCATCTCCCTAGTTACCTATGCTGGGCCTTTCTAGGAAAAGAAGAGGGTCATGCCCAATGTCACAGACAAGAACTCAGAAGCATGGGAGTCTGGGTACATGCCCAGGAACTGACCACTTAGTGGTGTATGGTGTCCTGCAGAGATTTGAACCATGATGGGTTGAGATCTTCACTAGGACTGTGGGGGTCACCTGTCTTGTCCTGGAGGACAAGGAAGAATATGGTGGATACATTCCTTCTACCTATCATACTACATAGATGGGATTACAGGCATGTGTCAGACACCTGGCTTTTTATTGAGATGAGGGTCTCATTCCCATTGCCCATGCTGATACTGAACTCTGATCCCCCTATCTATATCTCTGAATCAGCTGGAAAATAAGTTATTTTAAAACAATACTTGTTTTGAAAAGTTAAATCATAGATTTCACTGAACTAAACTTCACAGAAAGTTACAGTAAAACTGTCCTAAAGGGAATTCCTGAGTGAGGTAGCGATGTCCTTTGTCCAAAGATGTGGATATGGTGCAGACATTGGTAAGTGGTTATTGTTATCAGACAAATGTGCATGAGATTCTATTTTCTATTACTTTTGGTATATTTTACTTATTGTTTTAAGTTACTTTTATTTTCTATTATTTATTTGGTGTTAAGCTTGGAAAAAGTGTGTGTTTTGTTCCCATCAGCTTTCACAAGGGTATGATATGGTGAAGAGTGACTGTGAATTCAAACCATCTGAGGCAGTTATGATGCTCCTAGTTATGTGAGCTTATTATTCTACAGAGTGGAGATCACTCTGCTTCTGAACTTTCAGAGTTCTCACTATGATAATCCAGTTTTCCATTGCCTGGGCCTCAGAATGTATAACATCATTTTCAATACCTTTTATGATAAAAGTGGAGGGAACTTCTGTATTTCAACAATAAAAACATTTTTTACTTTGAATGTCAGGAAGCAGTTTGCCAGGTGTGGAAATAAAATTAATTGACAGGAAAACAGCCATTAACTGACTTCCTGGGAGGAAACTGGGGTGACTGGTTCCTGAGAATCCCCTGCTAGTCCCTGGTGTCCTCTCCTGCTGGTCCTGATGTCTTTCACTGGTTCATGGCGCCCCCTGGTGGTGGTAAGAACTCCCTGGTCCTCCTGTGAGTCCTGAACAAGCCCTGGAGACCTGAGTGCCCTTGCTGGCTATGAACACATCTGAAGGGAGGATTGTGTCTAGGCTGTGCCTTGGCACAGTAATAGAAGCCATTGTCCTCAGTTGTCCCACTGGTGAACTGCAAGAACACTTGGTTCTTATCTTTTTCCCTGGATATGATGACTTTGGATTGCAAGCTGTGGCTGAAGTTAGTTCTGCCTTTAGATCAAATCACAACAATCCACTCAAAGCTCTTCCTAGTTGAAGTTGTAACCAAGACAGAAAATATTCAGAAGCTGAGTGTGTATGTGCACAGGTGAGGCTGAACACTTTGGAGGAGACCAAGTTTCCTTCCCCCAAAAGACTAGATTTTGGAAAATGACTGAATTGCTGAGGCTCTGTATCCTCCTTCCTTGGGATGTAACATATCATCAGAGGAGACTTCTGGAGATGCTGAAGCAGCTGGTCTGGGGATGTATGCATGGAACTCAGTGAAAAGGAATCCCCAGTGATTCCCTCTGTGTGCCTTCACCACCAATGCTCACGTTTTCATAATAAGTCTATTTCTGGCATCAACACCAGACAATGCCATCCAATTTCCCAGGCTTCACCTTCATGAATCAAAATGAGAGTGCAGTAGTCAGATGCACTGAAATCATCACAGATTGGGGGCACAGGAGTCCTGAGACTTTTCATCTGCTCCCATCCACACCAGCCTCACCTGCACAGTCGATATGCTGAGCTGAGGAGGCCCCATTACTGCACAGTCCCTGCAGCTGCTGCCAACTCTGGTATTGATGGACCTGGACATGGCTCGAGGACCCACCCCGCATGAATACTTTGATGTCCTAAGACACAGGTTACTGTCAGGAAACAAAGGCCGAGTTAAACAGATATTGCCAGGAACCTTGGCAGTATTTTATCTACATTATTGATGATGCTACTCATGCCCTCCATCCAAATAGCTGCAGTAAAGGACTGAGCCACTGGGACTGAACATAAAGGGAACATTCAATGGGAAAGTGAATGACAAGGTTTACATTCAGTGGCTACTTCTTCAGCAGTCTGTGATTTATCTGGACAGTCGGTCCCTCCTTCTTTCCCTTTCTCATCCTCCTCCTCAATCAGATTTCTGCACACAGTGACGCCTCCCCCCCATGAGATGCTACAGTGAAAATTGTGCAGCAGGTCGGCTGACAGGGGAGCACACTGCTTGAAGACATCCAGGAAGGCAGGAAGGTGACAATCTGAGACAGAACAGCCAGGTTTATACTGAGCATTGCTATTTAAGCTGCAGCCCCTTCCTAGCATTTCCTACTTGACAGAGAAAATTACATCTATGCACATCTTCTTCTTTATCACAAGAACATGCGTGTTAATTGTATGACATATAAAGAAGTTCTGAATATTCCTACCAACATGAAGCAAACAACTTTCAGAACAACTCATGTATCTGATATTGTTTTTCTATGTGGTACATATAGACCTGCAATGTGCCCTGTAGGAATATTGTAATATTTATGTAGAGATGAAGCTTTCTGCTGTATGAGTGTAAGTAATTATGTGAATAAAATCAGTGTTGTGTGAGAGAAATATACAGAGTTAGGGAGGAGAGAGTTTCCCAGCCAGGCAGACCCTGCAATCCTTCACTGCTTCCACCATTTATTTCTCTGTTGCCTGTTGTACCAAGTCTATTCTCTTGTGACATTTCACCTAAGCAAAGTCAAATCTGACAACACTGTGACTTTCATTCTACCAAACTTCATTACACAATAACTTATCTTCAGTGTTTTACATTCACACATGGGAGTGTGTTAAGCCACAGTTAATTACAAGCCTTTGATCTCATTTCAATTGTAAATATAACCACATATTCAGTTTTTCAGATCAATATAACTCAAAGGTGACCATGAACAAAGCTAGAAATATTTTTGATGATCTGAGACAGGAGAGATCACCAGAATCATTGTGCATGGTGGTGTCTGCTGCTTTTAGAATGGGACAAGACCTCTGTTGTGCTTGAGTCATTCTGTGTTGCATGGCGCACATAAGTCACGAAGACAAGTACTGATTAGAATGATGTCTGTCGGTCAGACATTTTAGCACACTCCTATAAGATATACTTTCATTCTAGCCTGAACAATATTGGATTTCACAGGCAAAAGTAAAACAAAAGGCTGGGGACATGGCTGTAGTGGAATATCTCTTCAATTTCAAGGTCCTGTGTTCAACGTCCAGCACTGCAGGCAGTGCTGCCTGTGCTGCACCTTATTCAGAAACAGGACTGCGAGCATTCTTGGAGAAGAGACATAGGCAATCTGCTTTCAATGCCCCATTCCCCAGATGAGACTTTTCCACCTATTATGGGCTCATTCTCCTTAAGATTCAACTTCCTCTTATTCTCCATAGGTTATTCCTGGATTTAAACAATAGATCCCCACATTGTACATCCACTTATCACCTTGACAAAATAGCACAGTGTGATCTCCTCCTGCTGCATCATGCCAACAGCATGCTGTTTTGGACTTCTAATATAGGTGCAGCAGGGTCAGTCTGAAGGACTCCCCAAAGCCACAGAGGAAATAGGTGACTCCATGACAGACTGAACAGAGCAAGGCCATCTCTGTGCTCACACTACATTTTGTTGTCATTCTTTTTCACAGGTTAGTAATGACCATGTTCATTTCTCACAATTGTGCTTGCACAGAGATAGCAGGAGAACTCTGGGCTGTGGGGACCTAGAGATCCCTCCAGCCTTTCCCTCCAGCCTGCAGGAGACACAGCCTGAGATGCACCTGAATTCCAGCTATGTGGGCTTTCTCCTGAGATTTAGAGCACACATTTCACA